ACCTACCCCAAAAGGGTTTCACAGGGAAGAACATTAAATTAAAAAGAAACACCATACATGTTGATGACTCTTTAACAGACAGGCAAGTGAGGATACTGTCAAATGGGCTATGAGGTAAGTGTCCCTGTAGAGGCTATGGGATAGAGGACATATGCCACATCTTATTTGGAAGCATGACCATTAATTAAACAATAAATAATGAATGGATGCTCACACTCCAAAAAACAGTTTGACGAGAAATAACAAGATTGAATAGTCTAGAATTTCTGGCTGCAATGACTTCAAAGGCTCAACATGATTCAAGGAAGAGTCTCCTTTTCTCCTCTCCACTCAAAAAGACGAAAAAGAGGCTTTGCTCAAAGGGTACAGTTTCTTTTACATTGTCTTTGAAATTCATGAGTAACTTAAACTGCCAGGGTATCTGCCAGGATAGTGTCACCTACACCTTTCTTCTGAACCCTCAGCCTACTCCTGTGCGGGGGAGGGACCCAGGTGTCGGTATCAGCATCTATTATGATATCATGTCTCATTACACCTATCTCTCTACGGCCAAATATTATTTTCAGTGCCAGGAACAAAAAGGGTGTTATGAACACTGCAGTGTGAAAAGCAATATATATTGCTGTATAGTCAGCAAATGTGATGCAGTACCCAAACAGACTCACGAGTGGTATGATGGTAAGTTTGAGTGCCAGATAGCAATGACTGTTTCTTGAGATGGATGGGCTTGCTCTGGGTTCCAGGTGGGAGGATCCTTTCCACAGTGCGACAATAAATACAACTGCTTGCGATAAACTTGCAAAAAATATGGCCACTGAACCACACTGCACAGCCAGCTTTGTGTCAGCATCAAGCTTTTTGGGGTCGACAACATATTTGTTGAAAATGGCTACAAGGAAGGGAAAGTAGCCAACGAAGGCCAAGGAAATGTTGTTGGCAACTAACATTATTTGATTCATTCTTCTGATGCAGTGGAACAGAGAATGGTGTACGAACCACAAGAAGGCAATTACAATGAATGTTGCTATGTAAACAAGGAACTTGGGCCACATGTCCAGAACAGTTTTGTCAATTCCATTTTTCTTGACATCTGCTTCTTTAGGGAAATTTTCTGTAGTTATATCCAGCACCAGCAATGTTGCAACAATGGAGAATACCCCATCGCTGAAACATTCCACCCGTTCTGTATCAATGTAGTTGCCAAACATAAGATCAAAATCAGCTCCAGGCATGCGGATCGCCTTGCACTTTCGAAAAACAATTCCAATAAATCGATGTATGCATGGCGTGACTATGACAATGGAGATTAACACCCAAGCGGAGATGGTATTGACATTACTCAAGCAAGCAGCTAGCACATACAACAATAGGTTGAGAAGTTTTTTCGCTAGCATATAGTCTCTGCGTTCCTTACGTTGCTCTTCAGGTAGCTCCTGAAGTTCCTCTTTTAGAAGATCACTCTGACGAAACGAATACCATATCATAATCACTTCTAGAACTTCAAGGATCAACATGTCAACGCAAATCAACACAATGGGTAGATATTTCTTGGGATATTTTCCCTCCAAGGCGCAAGTGAAGGGCAAAAACGAAGTGAACATCAGAGACGTGAGATTTAACCAAATTGAAACATCGTCAATATGAGAGAGAATCTTGAAGCGATGCACGTGCGATTCCCAGACGGCACAAATGACAAGAAAGGCAAAGAAGTACACAAGAAGTTGCCCCCATCGGTCCTCAAGCTCCCCTTTCAGGTCAGTATCAGAATTTAATTCCAGTCTTCGAATGGGAAGAATCAAAATGGTTGACACTATGGCAAAGACAGCATCGTTGAAGCATTTCAAACGGTTAAGATGGACCAAATCTCGCTCTTCCGCCATATTTTGGAATGTCAGCTGGGAATCAGGTGACCCAGATGGACTGCAGGTGACCAAACTCGGAAGGGCGCGAATTTATTCCGATTACTACCGAACATTTTACATAAGTCGTCGGAGAAGATCGGATTAGTATCCTAACCTGAAAATGGCGGATGCATGCAAGAAAAAAGATACTGATTGCCATGAGGACCATGAGGACTGCAAAACGGTTGACATTTTTGAGGCCTCACAATGCGGGTTGGTGAACAATATTATTATTATTATTATCTTCTTGATTCTTTTTTCTTTCTGACAGAAATTTTGATCTTCTAGTGGGATTGGTGATATGTAAGCTAAATTATGAATGTTCCTTGTAAGCTTGTAAGATCAGAGTTTAGGCAAAATTTTTCGTATAAATCTTACAGTTTCCTGACTACCATTCTTAGTCTTATTCCTTTAGTATCGGTCCCTTCACTCCCAAATGTCGGAAGTGCAGCTGGTCAGGTTGATCCGTTTGTTGATTGCTGTCTATATTCCATTTTTTAAATTTATTTCCACATAAAAGACATATTCCTGTTAAAAATGTTATAGTATCATTTTCATTAATCTTAAATTTATTGATGTGAACATGAGCAAGGAGTGAGGGAAGGATCGTTGAAGTTTAATACTGGCTTGAATTAAAATAATGTACCGTAAGTTATCTTTATGAAACAGGTGTCCTTTAATTCTACCTTTTAGTCTCCGTCTAATGATCGTAGTCTCGGCCCCAGTTGTTCAAAAGGTAGATAACGTAATCCAGTGGTTTCAGTGGATGACGCAGTTGGTTTTCCTAATGTCTCTCCATTGGANCCTGTTAAAAATGTTATAGTATCATTTTCATTAATCTTAAATTTATTGATGTGAACATGAGCAAGGAGTGAGGGAAGGATCGTTGAAGTTTAATACTGGCTTGAATTAAAATAATGTACCGTAAGTTATCTTTATGAAACAGGTGTCCTTTAATTCTACCTTTTAGTCTCCGTCTAATGATCGTAGTCTCGGCCCCAGTTGTTCAAAAGGTAGATAACGTAATCCAGTGGTTTCAGTGGATGACGCAGTTGGTTTTCCTAATGTCTCTCCATTGGATAGTGATTTTAAATGTATCTGTTAGGTAGCACTATCAAACATTTGAACAACTGGGACCTTTGGGTTTACAATATTTTTTGGTCTGAAAGAGGGTCAGGATTTGGAAAAGTGGGTGGCACATCCCCAGCAAGAACATCTCAGGAGTACCCCCCTGGTGGGGGCAGATAATACCCTCAGAGATCTGCATTGGGAGTACATGTGTACCCCAACCACTTATCCATTACTGTTTTTTTTTTTGGGACCTCACAGGGACACCAAGATGTGCAGAGAGCTTGTTGGCCAGCATGGCGTAAAAATTCTAAACACATACGACAGCCATGGACATACCCCTTTACACTGGGCAGCCCTAGGGGGATACAGTGAATTGATTAAGTTTTTTTTGAATTGCGGAGTTGATGTAAACAGACAAAGCCGATCTGATTATGGACCATACCCTATTCACTGGGCGTGCGTTAATGGACATATCTTGTGTGTAGATCTTCTTATTCAAAATGGTGCATCAATAGACTGTACAGACAACAAAGGTTGTACGCCACTTATTATTTCGGCTCAGTATGGCAAGGCAATGCTGGCTGGATACCTTATAGGAAAAGGTGCAAAGAGTTTTTTCACAGATCATGAAGGAGATAACGCTTTACATTGGGCATGTTTTAAAGGTGAGCACTTTTTGACTTTTTATGGACACAGAATGAATTCTAGCCTGCACCACAGACAAATCTTAACTGTGGTTGAGTTCGTGTGCACAACAGCACTGAAATCCTTGTTCTGGGCCCCACCTCAGTGTACCAGGATTTTAATATGTGCCATCAGTGGCCTGTAAAAAAAACAGTGTGGATTTGCGAACCAAGATGAAAGAAAATTTTTAAAAAACTTCCTGCAATCTGTTGAGTCTGTAGGGGGCTCAGACAAAGATGTCAGAACTACATCATAGACATTACTGATCGGGGTTTGATTGTACATCTGCAACACAGGCTAAATGAATTCTTGAGACAAAAAATGTGGTGTTCACATGAGAGTCTGAAGGAGACCTTGGCAGCAACCATTCATAGGCAAAATCTCTCAGAATAAATATTACTCTTTCAGTATTTTGTGAAACTCTTTAACAGTAGATAAGGATGGGGAAGGTGCTTGTAAAACTGTTGAAATCATGTACTGACGACTAGCACAGAGGGTAACCATGTAAATCCTGAAAATCGAAAGTAAATTGTTCATTTATAAGCATTATTGGCATCTTTCATCATCCAGGGTGCATTTCCACTTAACACTGATTGTAAGGGTACATAAGTGTTCTGATTTAGAACTGTAATGTTAATAATTTTCAGTTGTGAATCAGGGTGCCCTCACCATTCCCCCCCAACCTTACCTATCTAAATAGGCTGTTGGTAATGTTTTGTGGTACATGCACTTGGCTTTACCACAAAAGAAATTGCCCGGGAACTCATTCTACGTCATATAACTGGTAGATAAAAAATTTGTACTAAATTTTACCTCTTAATTGTATGTAGTTTATTTAATCAGTAGCTTTTTCAAATTTCCACACAGTTTAGGGTTAAAGGGAAAATGTGTGAAAGACTAGAAAGGTGGGAATTATTACCAAGGAAAGATACTTCTCAACCATGTAAAAGTTTGGACCCCCTTATCACAAATTCCCTGATCTGCAACTGATTACATGTTAATTGAAGTCAAGGGCAAGTTTGTAGCTGTAGTATTGTGAAAGTACATGTCTGTATATCTTATTAGGATGAAACCTCTCTTGATAGGCCATAGTGAAGTTGTGCAGTTATTGCTGTATTCTGGGTTTGATCCGAAGCAGAAAGATAGGTTTGGACAGGTTTGTTGTAAAACTTTACTGTGTAATAATTTTGCTTTATGTTAATTGAGTAGTGTGCTCAAGATCTCATTGTAGCAGATATTCTCAAAGTGATTTACTGCATACATGACTATGTATTACTAGATTCATTTAACTATTTTTTGCTGATTGTCATAAATCCTCATATCATACGCAGCCTCATTCAGTAAGTTAAAGTATAGCGGTACATTTTTTTTCTAGGTGAAAATACAGGAAATATTGACCACCTGCCTGACTTTGCTATTCTTCTACTCTAAATTACATGACAATGTCATAGCTTGAGCTTTCTTACCTCATATTAAGCAAGCACATTATATTCACTTAATATTGAGATATGTCACAAAACAGCAGAAATTGTTTATGGTCCCAGCTTTGTAATACCTTATTACATGAAATTTTTGGCGACATGTTAATTTCGCGATTTTATGATGCACCTGTTTCGCCACACTTAAATTTTGCGATTTTGCAAAATTTTTTGTACTTTGAATCACTTTAATTTCGCGATCTTTAGTAAGACGCTATTTATTTAACTTATCCTTGAAGCAAATAGAACAACTTCATTTACAATAACGTCAAAATTTATAACAAGAGATGCAGCTCGACGGGTGTATATGAGAACAGTTACAACAAAGTTCTAACAATTTCCACAAGAATTTTACGCTTGTTAGTTAGTTTTAGTCAATTGACAATGATCTCCATAGTCATTTGCATAAATTTGTCCTTTCTTCATTATTCGCTATTATTGATATCTTGTCATTCACTTAATTTTCCTGTCATGTTATGTTCGCAACACTTATTGTTCACATCACTTAAATTTTGCAGTTTTAAAAAAATTGCATAATTCACAAAATTAAAGTGTTGTGAAAATTTCAAGTAATAAGGTACAGTTGAACCTCAATGTGCAACCATCTCTCTTAAGTAACCATGTCTCGTAAGTATTCACCTATCAAAAACACTAAAATTTTCCCAGTCAAATCCCTATTATTAAAACCTCTTGTAAACAATCACCTCTCATAAGCGACTGTGACTGATGGCCCAACGTTTTTGTTTTCTATTGTTTTTAACCTCTTGTAAGCAACCACTTGATGTGTTATATGGCCTCTGTTCACTGTATGTACTTCCCTTCTCAGATTATAACAACAGATTGAGAGATTTGTAGTGTATTAAAATAGATATTTAGCTTGTTTATGTTAACTGGAAGTATACATATTAGACATCCCACAATGCCATGCTTGCTTGGTTGTGAGTGTTGTGCAGACCAGAGAAGCATGTTGGATGCATGTTTGGTTTTTGTTGAAATCTTGTAGCATTGTAGTGATAAAGCATTGAATGGACAGGGCTTCTGATATTTCGCGCGGTCGCGGACCCGCGAAATTCAGGTATTTCCGCGAAATCCCGCGAAAATTCCCAAAAAAACTCGAAATACCGCGAAATCTGCCAGAAATATTTCCAAATACATGTCGGCAAAACATATTTTATACTTATCTTGGCTATAAGACCTGTTTTATTCACCCCAAACGTCCAAATTTATCTTGAAACTTCGTCAGTGCAACGAGTAAAAAACGTCTCAAAACAACCAGGCATTCTTAGATGAACGTTGCAAAAAACTGGGCACTAACCATAATGTTAACGGCTTTAGCATTCGCTCATTTCTTGAGCGAACTGTTGTTGAAAGAGCAAATGATTATCCCTGTTAAAAAAAGTTAAACAATGCTGGTCATATCGACACAAAATTGATCGATTTTAGTGAAATTTGCCAAAACAAATCCAGCAAAATCGGCTGTTTTTTACTGATTGTTGCTTGGCGAAGTTTCCCCCCAAATTTCCCGTGAAATCGGCTGATTTTTCTAAGAATTTACCCCGAAAATCCTTCGAAATTTGACTTTTTTCCGCTAAAATCCCGCGAAATCGGCCGATTTTTTTGTGAATTTTGACTTTTCTCCCGCGAAAATCCCGCGAAATCGGCCGATTTTTCCGCGAATTTTGACTTTTTTTCCTGCGAAAATCCCGCGAAATCAGCTGATTTTTCTGCAAATTTACCCCTGAAAAATCCCGCGAAATTTTGCGTTTTTTTCCGCGAAATATCAGAAGCCCTGAATGGAATTTAACAAGATTGACAGTGATCTGTCACTTTTATGGCTAATGGGAAACTTTTCTTTGACTGTTAGTTACTTCTGTAAAAAAGATAAAAGTTCAATGCCAGTTTTGTTCCTAAGAGTTGTTTTGGAGCCTTTTTATCTGCTTTATGTGCTATTTTGAAAAATTCTCAACTTGAATCTGACTTTTGCCATTAGCCATAAGCATGACTCTAAATCTTTCTGATGACAACATGGAACTATACTTGTACCGATAACTTAGAAATTGCATGCAATAAATTATTTTCTAAAAAAGAGATGTTTCGGGGCCTCCCTCTTGATTCTCGTAAACAACCACCTCTTCGCATTTTGTTGTGGTCCCTTATGGAAGTTTGACTGAATTATTGATGTCCATATTTTGTGTGAATTTGTTATCCAACTCTTGGCGATCGTGCATTCCATTCAGCTGCACCTTATCTCTGGAATACATTACCTTCGGCAATTCGCAACATGAAGACATTGGACACTTTTAAGACTGCTGTTAAAACTCATTTTTTCAATTTAGCTTTTAAATAGATTTAATTGTTGGCCTTTATAATAGGGTTTTATTATTATTATTATTATTTATTTATTTATTTATTTATTTTTTATTTATAGTTTTTAATACTTTTTATTGTAGTTTTTAATAGTTTCTCATGCTTTAGTCACCTTTGATATAAATTTAATATAACAATATTGTAAGCGCAACTGAATATATTCATAATAGAGGTTTCCACTATATAAATGTAAATTATTATTATTCTTATATTTTTGGTACAGACACCTCTTCATCTGGCATGTCTTAGTGGGGACCTAACCACGGTTGAACATATAGTTGATATGGTAGGCACTGAATACTTACTTCAGCTTCATGGTCCTCAAAAAAAACCTGTACGTGTTATTCTGAGGCATCCTTTTTTTAAATACTCTTGGCAATTAAAAATCTTTTGAAACGGTTGTGTGGGGTGCTTGCTAGTTTCCACAAACCACCTAGGGGGAAATCTTGTGCACAAATTACAAAAATCTATAGAATTTGATTTGGTGGGAGAACTATATATATAAGTATATCCAAATCTGCTAAACAGACTGATAAGAGTAGAAAAGTTGCATTGCATCAAATCACAGCCCATATTATTTCTGAAGCTTCCCAAACGTAATGGGCATGAAGCATTTGATTTTCCAATTGAAATTTCCCATTTTTCCGGCAGGTAAATGGTAAGTATCCATGTTATCTTTATGGAGAAGTGAGATTTTTGTGTCAATTTAGGGTTTGACAAAAGTCCCATTCAGTCAGCTGGGACAAGTAGAATTCTTTACTTTCTGTACTCAATTTTGTGATGGGAAAGGGCCTGGGAAAGTTGTCTTCACATACTAAAGTAAGCTTAGACAAGGGCTCAACTGCCTTTGGTAAGCAATTCAAACCCTTGGAATGTTCATACTTTGTTCTGCCGTTATTGTCTCATGCTACATGTAATTTTTATGTAATGGATATCAAAGTTAATCAACCTTTTTCATCATTCATCTTTCCATTATACTTTTTTCCATTACTTCTCATATTCACTTATGTGCTCTCTGTGTACATTTTTTTCTAGGATGTAGCATTAGATGCCGTTGACAGTAATAACAGAACTCCTTTGCGGCTGGCAATGGGGAGAGAATACAAAGAAATTGTATATTTTCTACAAGGAAAACTCAACCGTATTGTATCCTGTAAATTGAGGTGTGTTTCTTTTGTTATTAATGTATACACCTTATTCAATGGTTTAGCATATAATATGTGCGGATATTTTGCGAGTAGTGTAGTAGTAATACAAGCAATGAGCAAAATGTCTGCTTGTGTCATATGCTAAACCATAGAATAAGAGGTTTATTATTCCACTACAAAAAAAATTGGTTATTTTGCGATTGGCTTGTTTTTTTTTGTAAGAGTATTCAGAAACAATCTGATTCCGTCTGTGAGAATGACGTTAACAATGAGCAAAATGTTTGCACGTTAGTATATGCCAAACCATTGAATGAGAGGTAAATTATTCTACTGCAAAGAAAGTGTTATTTTGGCTTCTATTTTCTATTTTATTATCGTGTGCCGGTTCATCCAGTTCAGCCATAGTTGCTCCTTTTGCATCTGCCGGTATTCGCCCTGTTGTAAACCGGTTAAACCAGGACACTACAGTGTATTACGGTCTCGTATTTTGCACATTCTGTTGTCCTTATATGGTAAAATGACATAATAGTGGAACAATAATGTTAGTTATGGACTGGAGACAGAACTGCTGGAGCAGAATCGTACAAGCATGCACTAATTTAAATTATTATATGGCTACAATAGTATGCATGCTCTGATTAGCTGTTTTCTTGTAATGACCAGGCATTACCAGCTAGGTGTCCAAGGCACATAAAATCTGTGTTTAACTTGATATTGGACATCTTTATGGACATCCATGTTATGGTCAATTGTTGACAGCTGTCGAAAAGGTCATCTGCTGACCAGTGTCATCTGACTGTATTTATTTATTTATTTAGTCACTCACAAAACCTTATACAACATGAACAAAAGGTGTTAATTAAATTGTAAAATTAATGTGACAGGGAAGCCTAACGAAGCTTGAAGTTTACATTAATAGGCTTCCTTCAACTACCTAGTGAACTAAATTCATGGCTGAGTGCAGAGTGAGCAAGATCAGAAAATTAAACAACAGATCGGCTATCAGTGACATAATTCTTTAAATTTTTTTAAAAACAAATATAGAAGGAGAGCTAATTAGTGAAACAGGCAACAAATACCAGATTTTAGGTCCTCGGTAAAGGATACTGAATTGCTTTATATTTGTTCTAGGCTGCAATTTTTCCTCAAAATTGTTTTTTAATGCCCGAATAGCCTGTGTACAGCCACCTCCTCCCCTAAAAAAATCCCTTTTCCCAATTGCTTTTGAGGGGAAGTGGCAGCTGTACACAGGCTAGGCCCATAGTGCTGTCATGAGATGTTTACATGAAGTGCACAAGTATAACATGCCTATAGAGCACGTGATGCAAGAGCAAACAAAATTTTTTGTGTCTCTTCCCAGTCTCACACTTTGTTTTCACCCTAACTCTAGAACTTTCGTATGCCCACTCTTGACTTGCGCAAAAAAACAGGTTATCCTCTTCTCGAAAACCAACATTTCAACATTCCACTTTGATCAGGGAGATGGATACTGTTAGACAAAAAAACCACTAACTGGATGTGCTGCAGCTTAATAATTGTTTATTAGTTATTATGTTTAATGTTAGTTTTCTGAATATATTTATTTATCTATTCTTTGCTTTCAATATCCAGGGACATCGTATTTGGCCCGCCTGGGAGATCGAAGGCAGCAATCTTATTCTACTTTTGTAACCTGTTTCTCTGGGGTTATCCTGTTTATTTCTACTGGGTGAGTATTTTTAATTTTGTTATATTTTTACAACCATGGAGAAGAATTTTCACTGTACCTAAATCTAATAAATTCAGGTATATCTCCGTAATCACTGATATCATCACAATTATAATGATGAGGTTTATTTGTAAGAAGTCACTTTTAAAAAGCGATTTGACAAACAGTTAAGAATACTAAGAAAAGTTACCATGCTGTGGAGTATGCATCTGGGCGTTAAAAATTTATATACAGCGTCATCACTATTTTCATTACACGTATTAGGAATGCGAGAGAGAATGAATGCAATGAGAATGTGATGTAGTTTTAGTGACAACATGAAGCTACACCTATCGTAACACAGAAATTGCATGCAATGAATTCTCTTCCAAAATATAGATGCACGGTCCTCTTTTAGGAAGGGACCCTCTATATTTCGATTTTTAAGCAACCAATAAATCTTCACATTTTCAGATAGTGGAGAGTGGCGCAAAATTGAGAGAAAAGGAAAAATGCAGACGAACTACCCCCACCCCCTTGTTTTTTCCTGCTCGCTTTCCTTTGCACCTTCCCGACTTTAGAACGCCGGGAACAGGCGACACTCTGGGTGGTCGCTTAATTTAGATTATGTAGATTTTCCATGAACAAATATACCATTTGTTTTAATATCCCAGGTTTTGCCAGAGACGTGGAGTTACACACCTTCTGCTCATTACCTGTTTATTACTTTCAATGTTTTTATGTGGATTTCACTGTATTATGCCAACTCGAGAAATCCGGGATTTATCCCGTGTAACAGTCCAGATTACGATATGGCGTTAAAGCAAGTACGTATGCCATTTCTAACCATAATTGGTTTGGAGCGTTTGGAGCACGTTTTGCTGAAGAGTTAATACCACATGATGTGTACATTTTGTATCTGTTAATGTGCGTGACATAAGCTAGTCTCTAGTCCCTCACACAGCGGTCTTTGTCTAGTCACGCAACGCTCCTCCCCAAGAAGTGGGTGACGAGACAAAAACGGCTGCGTGGGTGACTAGCTAGTCTCGTACAGTAACGTTTTTTGTCTTGTACAGCGGCCGTTTTTCGTGTCGTCGCGTCTCGCAGTCCGAGCGTTGCGTGACGACACAAAAAACAGTACCTTGGGTTTCAAAGGTTTTTTTCTTTCCGTCTCGAGAGTGTTAGCAAACCATTAGCATGGTTTATTTCATCCTAGGTATTTTGAGAACGGACCTCTGGAACTAGGGTAAAAAAAAACAGCTGCATTGGAGAATAAGCAAAAGCCCATAGAATGGCATTTTCCCTTTTTTGGAGGGGGCGGGGAATCGCTTTTATGTGTCGTGTGTTAAGATTTTTTGTGTTCAACCTCACCGTTAGAAAGAGCTTGTTTTGCGTTCCGTTTCTTCTACTGTATTGATAAGTGTAATTTTCGTACGCAGGTTCCGTTCTTCGAAGAGTGGCAGGTGAAGACTGGACAAAACCCTCTGGAAAATCTCTGTCACACGTGTAGACTGGTGCGACCCCTGCGCGCAAAGCATTGTAGGATATGTAACCGATGCGTGAAGCATTTTGACCATCACTGTCCCTACATAAATAACTGCGTTGGTCTCTATAACAGGTATACAGTGTGTCTTTTCACGGTTGGGTGAGGGAGGATGTAAGAAGCGTCACCTGAATGAAACACCGTGCGGTTTGCAGAAGAGGAAAATATTACATTTACCGTATTTATTCGAATTAGCGCCCACCTCGAATAAGCGCCCATCCTCAAGGCGGAAAAAGTTAATAAGCGCCCACCTCACCTCCCTCCCACTCCCACTCAGACTCAAATAAGCGCCCACCCACTTCCCCCTACCACCCCAAGAAAAGGAATAAGTACTAATGAGAGACTTCCCGAAGATGGAGTTTTCTTCAGAGTGTTTTGCAGAAACCTTGCTTTGTTACATCTTCGCGTTTTGTTATTACCATTTACTATTTTGTTGCAAAATATACATACTACGAGAGGTTGGTTTAGAGGTTGTAATTAAACGGAAGTCTAATTCCTGGGACGTCCGCACATTTTTTGTCGATTGTTTGAAACGTCATCAAGTCCAAGCGCGACTGCGTTAAAGCAAACATGCAGATTATTGTAATGGCGGCTGTTGAATTCTCTCGTGACAACATTGAATGAAGGTTTGCGGGCCTCTTCGGAAAATAAATTAGTTGGTCTAAAAATGACTTTGGTGATATTCACATATACCAAGGGCTATACTGGGCGTTACCCTCTCTATCTCATGAAAATAGCAACGGAAAAAAAGAAACATGAGAGTTTTGCGGCTGAAAGCCGCTTCTTTTCTTTCCTGTTTTCATGATATGTTCATTATAGTTGATCCTAATCCATTTGAGCTCATTAATTTAATGCTCAAGATGTTGTGAAGATATAAGTCAGTATGAATGTAACAAGATGAAAGTGTACTACAGATGATATTTGTTGACCTTGCAGTGACGTTAACAATAAAACCAGCGTAATGTGTGTTCTTTTCAGAGGGCCGTTCTTGATATTTGTAGCGTGCGTGGCAGCTTGCAGTATAATGACGGTGTACTTTGCCATCATTTTGCTTCGTTTGGGTGGATTCAGCTGGATATATAGTATTGGATTGCTTCAATTTATTGTGGTGTCCGCTCTCATGTCAGCTCTGTTTATCTTTATTGTAAGTAAAACCCTTTTGTTGTTGATACATAAATAACTCCATTTAGTCACTCTTGGTTTCCTGTTGGCCACGCCTATAAGATGTCCCCGTTCCCCGCCGTCCTAAGTTTTGCAAACGCTGGTCGCTCTGATAAAGGTCTGTGTATGTTTTAAACAGCAGATAACAGGATGTGCCGTTGACTCTTCCATCAGACACCTGTCTAAGCCAGAGTGTCATAACAATTAAAATTATGCAAATTTCCGTTGAATGGTAAAAATAAATGGAAGATAAATAGTTCAGTTAAAGAATAAAGACGTAACACATTTGTTTTCACAGAAGAAAGAAATACTTGCGTCATTTTCCAAACAACAAGAAGAAGAAGAAGAATTGTGTCGCTCGAGCAATGTCAAACAAAATTTCATTTATGGATAAGGCGTTATTTCCTGTTTTCTTTCTGCCCAACAATGACTTTCTTTTTGATAGGTAAATCAAATTTCTATCAACCTTACTACCAACGAAAGAATCAACAAGAAGCGATATGTGTACCTCAGAGGACCATCCGGAATATTTCTTAATCCTTTTGACAGGGGCTGTCTTAAGAACTGGCTAGAGTATTTTCATTGGGTTGAACCTTATGACAAGAAACCCAACCTTATGTACAATGTCTGAAGTATCATATTAGGATCAACTGGAATGTGGCTTGGCAGTCAGTGATAACTTACTTGATCCATGGTTAGTGTACTCTCTGTACTCTCGTGATACGAGGGAGTTTTGCAAGGAACGCGCGAGGAATCCCATCATGAGTTGCCAGTGTGAACGAAAACACAGAGAGTGGAAACGACTCAGCCGCTGCAAGAACTGAAATGTTTCTCAATTGAAATTGTCCGAAAGGATGCTAGCTTTTAAGTCTCTTTTTACTTCTTTCTTTTCGTATCACCTTAGCGTTGGGCCTTTAAACTAATTTATTGCTTCAAGCGTCAGTGCTTAATCGCCATCTCTTTTATGTGAAGAAGGATTTCATCATATTCACCCACCATTCAGTGTTGCGTCTACTGTACACGCTCCTCGCGTGGATGGAAGAATTCAGTTGAGAGCTCTTTTTTAAGGAAACATTAATGTAATTTTCAGTTTTGGAATTAGACCTTCTCAGTCATGGTCAAGTGGAAACTGTAATTGTTTAACGCCTCAATCTAATCACCTGTGTCTCCTGATATGGATTGCGGGAGATTTGCGTCAAATTCCTGTGCGGCTTAACTGTTTGGTTATAAAAAGGGACAATGATCAAGAAGACAAGATTATTTTACCATGGAAATAGTATTATTAAAGGA